GGGCCTGCAAGCTTTTTCTTCCTCCAGTCTTCTTAGGGAAGAATACTGCGGAGGGAGTCGGGGCCGGCTCAGTACTCTGGGCTCTGTGGGACAAGGGGGCTCGTGGGCCCCTCGGCATGCAAACCGTCATCCAGTGTTGCCTTGGTGTGCTGGGGCCGCGTGACAAGTGCCACTGCCTGGAAGCTGAGATAACAGACACTTGGCATCGGGCTGTGTTGGAGGCCTCAAGCCCAAGACCCGGTGTCGCGGGGCTGATCAACACGCATGTGCCACGCACGCCACACCCCACAAGCGCTGCACCCATCACACACCTGCCACGTCCCGTGCTCCTGGGCTGGGGCATGGTCCTCTCTCCCCACGTCGTCACGTGGTCTTCCTTCCGTGCCAGTCCGGGTCTTCATCCGGGACACCGGCCATGGGATGAGGGTCTACCCTGAGAACCTCAGTAACGAGGCAGATGGTCTCTCTCGACCTGAATCCTCTCATAGGCCTTGTCTCCATGGGTGGTCCCACTGTGTGGTGCTGGGGTTAGAACTCAGCGTGTGGACTTGGCGGGGACACAGTTCAGCCCATTCGAGGTGTGGGGCGCTCGGGAGTGATGTGTCCAGGAAAAGGAACGGAGCCAACCCGTGGCCTGCTCGGAGGATCATGGGGAGGGAGCTTTGGACCTCTGTAGAGTTGGGCAGAACTGTTGGCAGACACACAGAAAACTAAGCAAGCCAAGAAACGAGCCAGATGGTAACTTCATGATAGCACCGAGCTCGACACTGAAGTTGGTGTAATCAGAGTCCATCATGCCACTCAGCTGGGAGTCCTATTTGCATAAGCGTAAAAGTGCCAGTTTAGCCAAAATTGATGAACAAGCTTGTCTTATAACTTTCTCAAAGATGGGAGGAGGAAGAGCACATATGGAGGTAATGGCATAGAGACTTTCCATAGCAGAGCGTGTTTATTTTTTTGAGTCAGGTCTTACTCTGTTGCTAAGGCTGGAGTGCGGTGCCACTGCCTCAATCCTCCTGTTTCAGCCTTCTGAGTAGCTGAGGCTACAGGTACCCACCAACACGCCTGGATAATTTTTTTTGACTTTTTGTAGAGATGAGGCTGTTCTCCAACTCCTGGGCTTAAGCAATCCTTCTGCCTCAGCCTCCCGGGATTATAGGCGTGAGCCACTGCACTCTGCTGGGAGTTAAATATATAACATTTTTAAAAGCCAAGAGTTAATATAAACAGCACTTAGGAATGTGGAGGTGAGTTCTGGAAGAGATACCTGAAAGTGTTGGACATACTGCCTTTGGAAGGCAGAGAAAGGGGTGGCAAGGCGTTCATACTGTTTGTGGTAAACCTTGCGGTATTATCTGGCTTTTAAAGCTGCATGTATATTACTTTGATAAAACATAGTTTATTTTAAAAATTGCATGACTGTCTAATCACAGTGCAATTTTTTTCCCCCTTTTGAGTTGGAGTCTCACTCTGTTGCCCAGGCTGGAGGAGTGCAGTGGCACATTCATGGCCACCCCAGTGTCGACCTGCTGGGTTCCAGTGATCCTTCCACCTCAGCCTTCCAAGTAGCTGGAACTACAGGCGCACATTACCACGCCTGGCTAATTTTTTATTTATTGTAGAGATGAAGTCTCACTGAGTTGCCCAGGCTAGTCTCAAACCCGTGGGCTCAGGCAATCCACTCACCCTGGCTTCCCAAAGTGCCGAGATTACAGGTTGAGTCACCAAGCCCGGCCCACAGTGCAGTTTTAAAACTTAGTTATGTTTTATAGCTTTTTTCTCCAAATTTAGTTGAAATGCCTGTCTTCTGGGACTCAAATTACTGTGTGTGTGTATGTGTGTGTGTGTGTGTGTGTGTGTTGTGGGTTGTGTGTTGGAGTCTCACTCTCACCTATGGCCACTGCAGCCTCAGCCTGCTGGGCTCAGGCAATCCTTCCGCCTCAGCCTTCCACGTAACTGGAACCACAGGTGTACGCCACCATGTTGGCTAATTTTTTGATTTATTGTGGAGATGAGGTCTTGCCATGTTGCTCCAGCTGGTCTCGAACCCGTGGGCTCAGGCTGTCCTCTTGGCCGAAGTGCTGGGAAGACAGGCTTGAGCCACCACACCCGGCAGCATTGTTTTTACCATAATGCTAACAATACTCGCCAGCACTGATCATTTCCGTAAAGCAGTCTGAACTGTGCTTCTTCCAGATAACCTACCGAGAGCTGAAGCTTCTGCGCTGTGAGGCAAGCTGGGCAGCGTTTCATCAGTGCGAGGCTCTTCTCCAGCTGATGACCAACGAGGAGAAGAACGCGCTGGTGACGTACGCAAAGCTGAAGCAGCAGTGCCGAGACCATGGGCACACGTACGTCGAAGAAGCCGACTTAACGTCCAGGTTGGCGGGGCACATGTCACCTCAGGGTGCCTGGGAGTCTCTGAGGTTTCTGAAGACTGTCGGTGTGGTGACGTATGAGAAGACCCGTGTCTTCCCTTATGACCTGTACCAGGCTGAAAGGTCCATCGCCGGCTCAATCTGGGACCTGATGAGCAGACCGCCGTGGCGTTTGCGTGTGGACGTCAGGAAGGTGCTCGCCTCTATCCACACCGTGCAGCCCGAGGGTTCCAGGAACAAGGGCACACTGAGTGAAAGCCAACCTGATGGAACGGGATTGGAAAGTCCTGAGGGCACTGTGGACACACGGGATGGTGGCGACCAAATGCGGCCTCATGGTGGAAATGGCATCGGCACAGAAATATGTGGAGTCCGGCTGGATCAGGATCAGGCTGAAGTCCAGCTAGATCAGGATCAGGTTGAAGACCAGCTGGGTCAGGATCAGGATCAGGTTCAAGTCCAGCTAGCTCAGGATCAGGATGAAGACTGGTTGGGTCAGTATCAGGTTGAAGACTGGCTGGATCAGGATCAGGTTCAAGTCAAGCTAGATCAGGGTAAGGCTGAAGTCTGGCTGGATCAGGATCAAGTTGAAGACTGGTTGGGTCAGGATCAGGGTGAAGACCGGCTGGGTCAGGATCAGGGTCAGGTTCAAGTCCAGCTAGATCAAGATCAGGATGAAGTCTGGCTGGATCAGGACCAGGTTGAATTGTGGCTGGATCAGGATCAGGGTGAAGACTGGCTGGGTCAGGGTCAGGGTCAGGGTCAGGATCAGGATCAGGGCGAAGACTGGCTGGGTCAGGATCGGGATCAGGTTCAAGTCCAGCTAGATCAAGATCAGGATGAAGTCTGGCTGGATCAGGACCAGGTTGAATTGTGGCTGGATCAGGATCAGGGTGAAGACTGGCTGGGTCAGGGTCAGGGTCAGGGTCAGGATCAGGTTCAAGTTCAGCTAGCTCAAGACCAGGCTGAAGCCTGGCTAGATCAGGACCAGGTTAAATTGTGGCTGGATCTGGATCAGGGTGAAGACTGGCTGGGTCAGGATCAGGATCAGGATCAGATTCAAGTCCAGCTAGATCAAGGTAAGGATGAAGTCCGGCTAGATCAGGATCAAGCTGAAGACTGGTTGGGTCAGGATCAGGGTAAAGACCGACTCGGTCACGATCAGGATCAGGTTCAAGTCCAGCTAGATCAAGACCAGGATGAAGTCTGGCTGGATCAGGACCAGGTTGAATTGTGGCTGGATCAGGATCAGAGTGAAGACCGGTTGGGTCAGGTTCAGGATCAGGATGAGGATCAGGTTCAAGTCCAGCTAGATCAGGATAAGGCTGAAGTCTGGCTGGATCAGGATCAAGTTGAAGACTGGTTGGGTCAGAATCAGGGTGAAGACTGGCTGGGTCAGGATCAGGTTCAAGTCCAGCTAGCTCAAGACCGGGATGAAGTCTGGCTGGCTCAGGACCAGGTTGGATTGTGGCTGGATCAGGATCAGGGTCAGGCTGAAGTCCAGCTAGACCGGGATCATGTTGAAGACTGTCTGAATCAGGGTCAGGATCGGGACCAGACTGACGTCCGGCTGGATCAGGACCAGGTGGCCGCCTTGGAGATGGTCTGCTCCAATGCTGTGACAGTCATCAGCGGGAAAGGCGGCTGTGGGAAGACCACCATCGTCAGCCGTCTCTTCAAGCACCTTGAGCAGCTGGACGAAGCGGAAGTGAAAAAAGCCTGTGAAGATTTTGAACAAGACCAGGACGCCCCCGAAGAATGGCTCACCTTCTCTCAGCAAGGTGAACTGGAGGCTGGCAAGGCCATCAGTGTGCTGCTCACGGCACCCACGGGCAAGGCGGCCGGCTTGCTGAGGCAGAAGACTGGTCTCCACGCATACACGCTGTGTCAGGTAATCCTGCCGATGGCTGGTCTGCAGATGAGACACCAGCCTCAAAGTCAGACTGACTTCTTACAACAGTCAGTAGGAATGTATAGACCGTCTCCTAGCAGGGCCTTGCAGTAGCAAGCCATCTAGATTGCTGCTGTTCCAACAGCCGGCCTGTTGACTGGTCCTGGTTTTCGGTGGGAAGGGAGCCTGGGCTGGAGGGCAGTCTGTGTTTTGAGTTGGAGTCCCACTCCGTCGCCCTGGCTGGAGTGCAGGGGCACACTCACAGCCACCCCAGCGACGACCTGCTGGGTTCCGGCCATCCTTCCGCCTCAGCCTTCCAAGGAGCTGGAACAGGTGCACGCTACCACGCCTGGCTAATTTTTGATTTATGGTAGAGATGAGGTCTCGCCAAGTTGCCTGGGCTGGTCTTGACCCCGCAGGCTCAAGCAATCCCCTCGTCTCGGCCTCCCAAAGTGCTGGGATGACAGGCTGAGCCATCGCACCCAGTCCAGTCTGCTTTTCTACTGTTCCTTCATTGAGAAAGTCTTGCTGTGAAAAGTATCAGCTGAGCTGAGTGTTGTCCAGGGATGACCTGATGCAGCTTCTCATGGGGACCGGTTCAGACGTGTAGTCCATAGACCGTGTTGTGAGTAGCGTTGGAAAGGGGAGGAAAAGGTTTATGCTTCATGGAGGGAAAGCTCCCTGGAGGTGGGTACCTGGTCAGCAGTGTGGTTCATCCCCTCCTCTGGATCTGCACCTGGCAGATAGTTGAAAGAGACAAGGGCATAAGCTGACAAGGTCCTTGTGTTCTTGGCCTGTGTTCAAAAAGCCTGGCCAATACTCCCTTCTCTCTGCTTACCCTTAAAAAGTTGACTTGAGCCGGGCTCTGTGGCTCAGCCTGTAGTCCCGCGCCTTGGGAGGCTGAGGAGAGTGGATTGTTTGAGTCTGTGGATTCGAGACCCGCCTGGGCAACTTGGCGAGACTTCATCTCTATAATAAATCAAAAAATTAGTCGGGCGTGGTAGCGCACGCCTGTAGCTCCAGCTACTTGGAAGGCTGAGGTGGAAGGATCGCCGGAGCCCAGCAGGTCGAGGCTG